TAAATCAAAAAAATTAGCCGGGCATGGTGGCACATGCCTGTAGTTCCAGCTACTTGGAAGCCTGAAGCAGAAGGATCACTGGAGCCCAGCAGGTGGAGGCTGCGGTGGCCAGGAACAGACACTGTACTCCAGTCTGGGTGACAGAGTGAGATTCCAACTCAAAAAAAAAAAAAAAAAAATTTTCTAGTTTTTAAGTCATATATTTTATGTCATCAGAAGATAACTTTAAAATCAGCTAATATCCAGGCAAAGTAGCTTATGCCTTCAATCCCAGCACTTTGTGAGGCTGAGGTGGGAGGATTGCTTGAGCCCAGGAGTTCAAGATCAGCCTAGGTAGCATAGCAAGACCTTATCTTTATAAAAAAATTAGCTGGGCTTAGTGGCTTGCGCCTGTACCCAGCTGCTCAGGAAGCGGAAGCAGGAGGATCACCTGAGCCCAGGAGTGGGAGGCTGTGGTGAGCCATGATCGTGTCTCTGCACTCCAGTCTGGGTGACAGAGTGAGATTCTGACACAAAAAAAATCAGTTAGCATTTTTCTCGTAAATAATAAGCACATATCCTAGAAAACTAACAAAGAAATATTGAAATCATGTGTAATTATCCCAGTTAACCATTATAAATAATTTGGTGCAGTGGCTCACACCTGTAATCCCAGTACTTTGGAAGGCAAAGGCGAGAGGATTGCCTGAATCCAGGGGTCCGAGACCAGCCTGGACAACTTGGTGAGACCTTATCTCTACAAGAAATCAAAAACTTATCCAGGTGTGGTAGTACATGCCTGTGGCTTCAGCTAGTTGGAAGGCTGAGGTAGCGGGTTCACCTGAACCCAGCAGGTCGAGGCTGTGGTGGCAGTGAGCGTGCCATGGTACTCCAGCCTGGGTGACAAAGTGAGACTCCTACTCAAAAAAAAAAATGCCAGGCTTGGTGGCTCAGCCTGTAATCCCGTGCTTTGCGAGGCTGAGGTAAGTGGATTGCCTGAGCCCACGGGTTCGAGACCTGCCTGGGCAACTTGGCGAGACCTCATGTCTACAATAAATCAAAAACTAGCCGGGTGTGGGTGTGCCTGTAGTTCCGGCTACTTGGAAGGCTGAGGCGGAAGGATCACTGGAGCCCAGCAGGTTGAGGCTGCAGTGACCGGGAACAGCCACTGCACTCCAGTCTGGGTGACAGAGTGAGACTCCGACTGAAAAAAAAAAAAAAAGTAGTTTGGTGCATATTTTCCCACATGAGAAGTCAAGTTTTTTCCGTATGTCATGATTGGTCTTCCCAGACAATAGAACTCTTTCATTAATTTTTGGAACAGTGTGGAATAATCCATTATATAAATGTATACTTTGCATTAGATATTTAGGTTGTTTTAAAATTTTTAGCATTCTAAACTGTGCAGTGATAAATCTAAAAATTTTTTTTTTTTTTTTGAGTTGAAGTCTTACTCTGTCGCCCAGACTGGAGTGCAGTGGCTGTTTCCGGCCACTACAGCCTCGACCTGCTGGGCTCACCAATTTACCTAGGCTGGTTTTGAACTCCTGGGCCCAGGCAGTCTTCTCTCTTTGGTCTCCCAATGTACTGGAATTATAGACATGAGCCACTGCACCAGCTGATAAATCTAAATCTTAATGTTTCCTTAAATTCCTTTTGTGTGTGTGTGTGTGTGTTGGAATCTCACTCTGTTTGTTTTTTTTTTTTTTTGAGTTAGAGTCTCACTTTGTCACTCAGGCTAGAGTGCAGTGACATGATCACAGGTCATGGCATCCTTGACTTCCTGGGCTCAGGTGATCCTTCCACCTCAGCCTTCTAAGTAGCTGGAACTACAGGCACGTGTCACCACGCCCAGCTAATTTTTTGATTTATTGTAGAGATGAGGTCTCGCCAAGTTGCCCAGGTGGGTCTCGAATCCGCGGGCTCAGGCAATCCACTCACCTCAGCCTCCCAAAGGCACGGGATTACATGCTAAGCCACCAAGCCCGGCTTACTCTTCTTTAAAACTCAAATAGAAGAATATGTCAGAAGTCTTTGTTTTTCCCACTTGATCCTCCATCTTCTTTAGCCCACAAATAGCACTAACTTTCTTCAAATCTGCAAAATGCAAGGCGTATTCACAAGCGTAACATTGCTATGACAAGTGACAAATGATAAATGAACTCCCAACACCGTAGTGTTACCATGCCAGAAACAAGTGCTATGAATTTATGCATCAACCTAATCCACCTAAAAGTGGTGCGCCTGAGAGCATTGAATAAAAGCGTCAGAGTTGTTTGCTCTTTCATGATGTGCTTTACAACTTTGGAATAGGGAATTACCTTTAGTAATAATTTTTTTTTTTTTTTTTTTTTTTTTGAGTTGGAGTCTCACTCTGTTGCCCAGACTGAAGTGCAGTGGCCGCTCCCGGCCACCACAGCCTCGACCTGCTGGGCTCCGGTGATCCTTCCGCCTCAGCCTTCCGAGTAGCCGGAATTACAGACGCGCACTACCACGCCCGGCTGATTTTTTGATTTATTGTAGAGATGAGGTCTCGCCAAGTTGCCCAGGCGGGTCTCGGACCCACGGGGTCAGGCAATCCACTCACCTCAGCCTCCCAAGGCGCGGGATTACAGGCTGAGCCACCAAGCCCGGCTAGGAATAATTTTATTCTAATTCCTGATTTTATAAAAAATAAGTTCTAAAAGGCAGGGCAATCTCGTTAGTTCTATTTTAGGATCTTTTAGTTCTTATACATTATAACTTTCTCTTTCTGTACATACTTTAGAAATTTTAAACTGAAACCTTAGTGATATGTTTGTATTTTATCTGTTAGGACGCCAGTGGTGAAAACACTGTGGTTCCTCCAGAAACATATGTGAAAGTGGCAGGTCACCTGAGATCCTTTCAGGTAAAGTCAGAATCAAATGGCAGTTACGATGTTTTTGCATGAAGCAATTTCTGGATTCATGTCTGGGTTTAGGATACGTAAAATACTTTAGTCTCCATGTTTAATGGAAGTTATTTCTTTATTATCTTCAAAAACAAATAACTGGTTTTTACCTTAACATGAAACTAGCAGAATGGTAGAGAAAAGGCACAATCTCCACCTGCAATTGCCAGCCATGACAGCTGTTAGGTGGAGAAGGGATAACACTGGATTCAGAGTCAGGAGACTAGACTCTGCCCAGTTGCATAACCTTGGGAAATTCATTAACATCTCTGAGCTAGTTTCGGTTTTTTTCCCTCATTATTGACTATATTTGGATTACTCCTGAGTTAAATTTTTACGTATTAAACATCCATAATACTACAGCTCAGAAAAGAACTACAGTGTTTTGATCTGAAATTGATATGAATATGCTCATCCTTTATTCACATTTTCCCCTTCGTTTTAATAGAACAAAAAGAGCCTGGTGGCCTTTAAGATCATGCCCCTGGAGGATATGAATGAGTTCACCACACATATGCTGGAAGTAGTCAATGCACACATGGTACTGAACAAGTCTAACAGCCAGGTGAGCAGCTCCATTCTTAGCCTTTTCTCTCCTCTGGAAGATGTAGACTGCTTTTGCATTTCTGCTTTGATTTCTGTGACATTCTGAAAGTTGTGCCAGAAGAAAGGCATTACTCAGTCCTCAGAAGACTTTCTCCATGAGCTTTGTCATTGTATTTTATTTCATATTTCTCTTAAAATTATGAGTCCTCTGACCTCACTGGCTTGGATGACTGAGACCTAAGACAACCTTCAGGTGTAGACATGTAATTATAGGCTGAGCTGTTGGCTCCAGAAGTGTCAACCCACATTCAGAGAATATCTCCAAGTAGGACTGCATTTTATTGCATTCTTTCCAGTGTATTGGCTGAGTAGGAAAAACTGTGCACTATTATTTTTTTCCTGAAATTATTTATCTTAATTCATATTGAAATTTCTTCATATTATTTTCTGTTGTACAAATTCACTTGGGCAAGTCCATCTGGGACCACACAAAAGGTTTGTTCATTAGAAAGCCCTCAGATTATTTGGGTAGCAAGGTGGAGGACTGGTTACGGAAGGAGAGACTGGAGAACTGATAAGCCATTAGGAATGCCATTACATCCTACTCTGTGCCGTGCACTTCATTAAGCACTAGAGATACAAAAAATTCGTTCATTCCTCTATTGAAAAAATATTTATTAAGCCTGTTATGTGCCAGTCATTCTAGGTCCTTGAATACAGCAGTGAACAAGATGGATAAAATGTCTGCCCTCAGACTTACATTCTTGCAAGAATGTAAGGTACTAAACAAGAAAGCAGATATACAATTTTGTGTAGTTATAGGTACTCTGAAATAAATAAAGCAAAATAGGAGAAGAGAGTGGTGGTGGGAATAAGAAAGGTACAATTTTAGAGAAGAGCATTCCAAGCCAGAGGAGATAGGAAGCACAAGAGCCATGGGTCTGGAGCAAGCTTGGCATTCCTGAAACCAGCAAGAAGGCCACATTGTCTGGAGTGAAGTGGATGACTGGGGAGAAGGTAGAGGGATTTGGTGAGACGCGAGGCCTAGATCAGTGAGTGGGACTTGTGGCATGCAGCTGGGATAGGAAGTGATTAGATCGGATTCGTGTGTGTGTGTGTGTGTGTGTGTGTTAGGATCTCACTCTCTGTTGCTCAGGCTGGAGTGTAGTGACACAACCTCGGCCTTCTGGGCTCAGATAATCCGTCAGCCTCAGCCTCCCAGGTAGATGAGGCTACAGACACATGCTACAATGCCTGACTGATTTTCTTTTTCTTTTTCTTTTTTCCATTATGGAGACGAGGTCTCACCATGTTGCCCAGGCTGGTCTGGAACTTCTGGGCTCAGGTGATCCTCTTACCTTGGCCACCCAAAGTGATGAGATTACAGGCATGAGCCACCATCCCCAACCAAGAATTCTAATATGTTAAAGTTGGACTTGACAGGAGTTATTGGCAGATTAGATATTGGAAATGAAGAAAAGGGAGGATTCAGAAATGACTCTTTAGAGTGTGGAATCCAGAGTTCTGTTCTTGACTTAACAGGTATGAGATACCAGTTAGATATCCAAGTGGAAAACAGTAGACAGTTGATCATCTAAAACTGGGACTTGGGGGAGGTCAGGGCTAGAGATAGAACTTTGAAAGTCATCATTGTGTGGGTGATACTTAAAGCCTTGAGTGATGGGATAACTAGGGAGTTAAGAGGCCAGTAACTTTTAGAGGCCTGGAAACAGAATAGGAGCCAATGAAAGGCATTGAAATTGTGGTTAGGTAGGAGGGAAACCCAGAAATATAATTTTATGAATACTCTGTAAAGAGTATTTCAAGGAGAGTAGAGATAAATTGTGGAATGTTGCTGAAGTCAAGGAAGATGATGAGAGAGATCTGCTGTCAGACCTAGAAATGTAGGTCTCAAAAGAGAGGCTTCATTAGAGGATGAGGAAGTGGGTTAAAGAGAATGGGAATGAGTAGATAGATGAAGGTACTGTATTGCTATACTTCATGTATGGGTATATATGTACCAAATATTATATGATAAAAATGGTTTTACAGTGAGAATGGGTGGTTAGAGAGTGTAGACAAACCACAAGTGTGGAGAAACCACGAGTGTAGACAGTCATTTTCAGGGGTGTACAGGTAGTCCTTTCCCTCAAAGGGGATTGTGTTACACATTAGATGTTCAGATCACTTAAGCAGTGAATGCAGTAACAGTGGCAAGTGCAGGGTATCATGGAACCACAGAGAAGGATTTCCTGTTCTGGCCTGGGCATTGAGAAAGGCTCCCCAGAGAAGGTGGTGCTTAAACCAAGTCTTAAAAGATATATGAGGAGCCGGACTCGGTGGCTCAGCCTGTAATCCTGTGCCTTTGGGAGGCTGAGGTGAGTGGATTGCTTGAGCCCGCGGGTTCGAGACCCACCTGGGCAGCGAGACCTCATCTCTACAATAAAAAAAAAAAATCAGCCGGGCATGGTAGCGCATGCTTGTAATTCCGGCTACTTGGAAGGCTGAGGCGGAAGGATCGCCGGAGCCCAGCAGGTCGAGGCTGCGGTGGCCGGGAGCGGCCACTGCACTCCAGTCTGGGTGACAAAGTGAGACTCTAACTCAATTAAAAAAAAGGTATATGAGGGCCGGGCTCAGTGGCTCATCCTGTAGTCCCAGCACTTTGAGAGGCCGAGGCAAGTGGATTGCCTGAACCTACAGGTTTGAGACCAGTCCGGGCAACTTGGCAAGGCCTTGTCTCTACAATAAATAAAAAAAATTAACTGGGCATGGTAGCATGTGCCTGTAGTTCTGGCTACTTGGAAGGCTGAGGCAAAAGGATGACTGGCACCCAGCAGGCGACATGGGGTGGCCATGAGTGTGCCACTGCACTCCAACCTAGGTGACGGAATGAGATTCCAACTCAAAAAAAAGAAGAAGCCGGGCTCAGTGGCTCAGCCTGTAATCCCGCGTCTTTGGGAGGCTGAGGTGAGTGGATTGACTGAGCCTGCAGGTTTGAGACCCGCCTGGGCAGCGAGACCTCATCTCTACAATAAATAAAAAAAATCAGCCGGGCATGGTAGCACACGCCTGTATTTCCAGCTACTTGGAAGGCTGAGGCGGAAGGATCACCGGAGCCCAGCAGGTCAAGGCTGTGGTGACCGGAAGCGGCCACTGCACTCTAGTCTGGGCGACAGAGTGAGACTCCAACTCAAAAAAAAAAGAAAGGAAAGTCTGGAAATTTATATTTTCACAGGCAGAGGGAGCTGCTTGATAGCTTTTAAGCAGGAGAGAAGCATGGCTAGCAGAGGTTATGAGGCATAGCAATGGGAGGGTTGATTGGAGTATGGGAGGCTGGAGGCTGAGATGGTATTGGAAGCTAGGGCCAGGGGTGATGAGAATCGACTTGAGCTAACTGTAGAGGGACAGATTAAAGAAAGTAAGTGAATAGATACTCATAGATGTCTTAGATCTCCAGGCTTGGGCTTGGGCTTAGTAACTGAGATCAGTAGAAGAGGGTAAGCAGGTTTGGGAGGAAAGTAATGAATCTTTTTTTTTTTTTGAGGTGTCTAAAATATTGAGACAGGGTATCCAGTTAGGGGTTTGGCATGAAAATGTGTGACTTAGGAGGTAGTCTGGGACAAAATACTGGGTGCTGTCAGCCTTTGGGAGACAGGCAAAAGAGGCTACTGAGGGACACTGAGAAGGTGTGGTTTGAGAGGTAAGTGAAGAGCCAGGGGAATATGACGGGAAGAAGCCCTGAGGAGCACATTTCAAGAGGAGTGTGGCCACCATCATCTGCATCTGAGAGGTCAAGTATCATGAGAACTGAAAGAGGCTTTTGGATAGTTGGTTGAAAGTCAATGGGCTAGCCATTGCAGTACATTGGTCTCCACAGAGACAGCGCCAGGGCAAGTGAGAACCAGACAGGCACTGGGTGACTCTACCTCACTTAGGAAGAATAACAACATGAGCAAAGCCGATCCCAAGAAGCCAAGAGGCAAAATGTCATCATGTGCATTCTTTGTGCAAACTTATTGGGAAGAGTCTTAAGAAGCAGCACCCAACTGCTTCAGTCAATATCTCAGAGTTTTCTAAGAAGTGCTCAGAGATGGAAGACCATGACTGCTAAAGAGAAAGGAAAATTTGATGACATGGCAAAGGCAGACAAAGGTCCACTATGAATAGCCCTCCTAAAGGGGAAACAAAAAAGAAGTTCAAGGAGCCCGGCCTTTTTATTGTTCTGTTTTGAGTATCGCCCCAAAAATAAAGGAGTAGATCATAGCCTATCCGTTGGTGATATTGTGAAGAGACTGGGATAGGCATGAAATAGTGCTGCTGAGATGACACGCAGCCTGCAAAGCTGAAGGAAAATAGGGAAAGGGTATTGTTGCAAACGGACTTGGTGGCTCAGCCTGTAATCCTGTGCTTTGGGAAGCTGAGGTGAGTGGATTGCTTGAGTTCATGGGTTCGAGACCTGCCTGGGCAACGTGGTGAGACCTCATCTCTACAATAAAAAAAATTAGCCAGGCATGGTAGCGCTTGCCTGTAGTTCCAACTACGTGAAAGGCTGAGGAGGAAGGATCGCCGGAGCCCAGCAGGTCGAGGCTGTGGTGGCTGGGAGCG